TAGTTACTAGCCCAGGCTCCCGTCATTTTCAAAAACAATTTTTCACAATTTTTCATCACCCACTTCGAAAACCTTAATTAAATCTACTTCTTGTTAAATGTTCCTTGCAAATCTTTATTTCGTAATGGAATCCACATTGATTTCGTTAGGCGAAATCCAAACCTAAAGAAATTAAAGTTGCTTCAACGGACGTTGATACATGTTTTGTATTAATTAAGGATTACTGTTTCAATCTCCACTATTGTTGATTTACTTTAATTATACATCTGTATTTTACAGACAGTGATTCATAGATTCAGTATTTTATGTTATCTTATTTTCATTATTTTCTTGTAGTTTTTATGCAACATTGAACAATATTCGTTTGTTCGATTTTTCGGCAGCTAAAATGGTTTTTGCACAATTTTTGCAAATGTCAGCGTGAGTTTCAAGCCACCGTCGCTGCTGACCAAGGCAAGGACGAGGCGCAAATAGAACCGCAAAGCATGTCATAGAAGCATTTTCTTTATCTAGTAATAAAAAAACTGGAATGTCTTCCTGTATGACCCTTACTAAGATTTCTAGATCATACAGGTTCATGTTTTTGGCTTCTGAATCTTCTATGAGTATCCTGTAACAAGAATTAAATTCGAGTTAATTGTGTTTAAAAGGAACTGTAGGGTTTCCCCAGACAACCACTAGACGTCCGAGCAGGCCGGTGTTTTGGAAATTGCACTGCGGCCGTTTAAAGGAATTAAGCTCCATATTGTAATGCATGCAGTAATGTTCTTGTGGCATTACTACTTTAGGAATCATATGTCTCTAGTGTTTATGTATACTAACGCATTTTTATTGATTTTTAGTATTTTAATATAGATTTTTTTCTGTGGAGCTGCTAAAAAATTTAAAATTTATGACAAAATTAACAGGATGAGAAAATTTTTAGTTTTTAATATTACTGTGCATCTAATAAATTGTTACTTAGCGGAAAAACCTCACCAGATTTTGCATTTATGACATCTGAATCATGTCCTTTACTACTTTATCCAAAATTATTGCTTATTTATTCAGTCAGGGAAGTCACTTCTAAGACATATCGCGTCGATTTTACTGCGTAGCTTTTCTCGTTCAAAATTTACATCGTGCAAAAACATTCATTTGAATATTGAATTCGTTCTTTCTTTCTGTGCCTAATACTAGAACACTCGAAAGTGTTTGCATTTTGAATATAACAAACGGATAGTTTTAAGAACGTCACTAACTCGATCACCACAAGTTATGAACCTAACCGATTTTTCTAAACTGCTTCCGCACCTTCATAATAGAAGTGTAAAGTGCGAGCAAAACTTTGAAGTGAAATCTTATTAGCAGCTCTTTCATTCTTGGTCATTGTGCATTGTTCAACTTCTTGAGCTAAAATAGTAATTCTTCTGAGAATCGTTTCATGTACTCACAATGTCTATTTCCTTTGAATTTGCCGCTCAAAGCGATTCATCCTTTGTACCGCTCGATCCTATCTCAGGACTGGTCTCTAAGAGAGTGTCCTAGAAGGATAGCTTCCTCGCTTTGTATCGTAAATCCTGCATTTCCTTCATCGCACTCCAAACTCAAGAGAGCTGCTAGATAATGTGTTTAGAGGAGCTTTGCTGTTAGGATACTTCTCATAACCTACTCAAAATAAATTTAAATGGGACCTTATTTCGTGATATTCTTTAGAACCTGCTGGTTTCATCGGACTTTTACTACTGGAATAAAATCGCACGTGTGTTTACTCATCTTTCAGCTCAAATAATCACAGTACTCATGGCATAAAACGATCCTATATTCTCATAATTTGCTAATATTTCATGTAAATTTATTTATAGAAGAAAAATGGTTGTTACCCCGATGGCTCGAGGAAAAGCTCCACATTGAATTAAAAAAAATTATATATACGATCGTACATGCATATTCATACATATACATACACACACACACATGCATTGGCACATATATGAGATAAGGCATTCGATTCATAGGAACAGAGTAAAAGGCCCAAGATTAAATAAGCACTGGCTCCTGTGAGAAATTTTCCTGAGAAGATCGAGTGTGAAGTCGAACGTAAACCCTGCGTGAGATGGCAGGTGGCATGCGTTGCTTGCGATGAACACAAGATGTGGTCCGCATTGCAGCAGCGGCAGTGGTCGGTCACGTAGCCTGGTGCTTTACGAGCTTCTTTCACTAGTCCCATATTCATGTCTCACTAGTCTCAAGCATATTGACGTACACGCAATACAGGAGTATTGAAACGCTCGCGTGTTGACGAGGATTCTTCAGCGCTTGACTTTCTCTGCGAGATGAACGTCACACGCACACACGCTAATCAAGGGTTCCACAGGGCCTGTACTTTCAAAAAAAGTTAAGAGATCGTAAGTTCATCAGCCAATCATTGACGGCCATTCAAGCAAAATCCACCAATCATAGACAAGAAAATAGAGCGTAAGTACTTACGTTCACTTAGCCAGTTTTGAAAGTGATATGCGATATCTGGGTGTTCTCTAAACAAGATTGAATTGTATCCGTGAGTTGTGTTCAGTTTTTGTACAAGAAACTTGAAGCAGACACTTTATCCGTTCAAATTCCTATTCCAACGATATATGCCTTACTTCTAGCTTTTCTAAATTTGCATGTTTCACACGTGAAAGCGTGAATTTTAGGTGAATTTCCTATACAGTCTCACACTTTTTGCTCGTGTTCATGGTAAACCACTCAATAAAATCTTGTAAACAATTAAAAGGTGACCCACACTTTCGTAATTTTCTTAGTTCCACTGTCCGGTTTTCACACAGCGTCCAATGGCTTCTTTTCAAGTTCATTCGAATTCAAGAATTTTTTAGCTACAGGCTCAGATCAATGATTATTGAATGATTCATACATTTCTTCACTCCTAAAAATATTTTGGGACGATCAACTGTTTGAAAGGAAAAAAGTTAGTAAATCAGAATCCCACTTAAAATCTTGCGGCTAAGAATAAATTTATGCATCCTTTACTCATTAATGTAGAGAAAACAGTTTAAAAGCTTCTATCCTATTAGATGTTATATATTCTATGCATAAAAATAATCAATTTCTTTCATTTTTCAAGTTTCACAAAGAATTTGAAACTTGTTTACAAGCAGTTTCTCTATTTCTTCAGTTTTTAGTCTTTGTTATGACATTCTATGTATAGATTTTACCTCATTTTCGGCGGTTAACCAAACTGCATAAGACATAAAGAAGCTCCAAATGTCATGATAAAAAGAAGTCAATCATTTCGCTGACCCAACCCCGGGAAAGTTTTTGTGCTGCGCAAAAAAGAAGTTAAGGATTCTTCACTCCAAGGACATCTAGGACCCTTCGTTGAGTTACAGAACTGGCAAGGAAGTGGGGTGGTTTTACTCGACCAGAAAGATACAATCGCCATCCATTGTGCGGTAGCCCTGCAGTGGCCGCAGTTGGGCCGTGATTGCGTCTCTTCAAGTCGAGTTTCTTCGTTAATTTACAAAGCTTTCAATAGCGAGAACCTGCAACACATTTCACAAGTACGAGGAAACTTCGCAATTTCAGCCCAGCTCATCCGTTAATCACAAAGTTGTATCAAGCTTTTTTTTATTCTTCATTGCGCTCCATTTTTGCGCAGTGAAATTCATTTTCATTAACTTATTGAAATTTGAAATATTGTGAATAATTATAGTAATTCATAATTTATTGTTTAGATTTGAATTATAGATTTTAATAACGGTTTGAATTGATGTATCAATATAATCATGACGAATGGAAAGAAAAATAATGACACTAGTGTTCTAATAAATATACGATTTATTCAACGCTATGCATACAAAAATTTTACACGCAGATATAACATTAAATATGTACACAATGTTGATGCAATCTAGTGCCCGCTATTAAATTTATCAAGAAATCATTCATTAACTATTCATGGTGTCAAAAAATCCTATATGACTTATATCGTAAATTATATTTAGCAGTTTTTAGTTTAAAACTTAATATTTTAGAGCATCTAATAACGCTTGAATTAAAAAACATGTTTACTATTTCCTCGGCGCTCCTGATATAATTTGCTAATCTTGTTTCTAGGGGCATGACAGTAATAAATTTAGTTTATGAAATAGGGAGGGAGAAAAAGTGCTGTCTCTCCCAGAAACTTACTATAAAATTTATATATCAAATTTTTTATAACTTTTGCATTACCTTTTCGTAATTTTCAAATCCCTCAACAATGTTGAATACTTAACAGCTTTGTGATGAAAACCAGCTAAAAAAATATTCTGACCACAAAAAGATTTATTTCTTAAATTTCAGAAAGTCGCCTCTTCCATAACTTGATAGTAATTTATATACTTATACTCTTGAAAATGCTGTTTGGTATCCAATCAATTGGTTCTTTTTCAATTTTCTATTGAGTAATGTAATTTTTAAAAAACATTTATGTCTGATTTTTTTTTGTATCACGAAAATGTAAACTCATTTTTCGGTATAGCACAAAAAGTTAGATTATATCACACAGAAACATTAAAACCTAGGCTTTTAGGAGTTGAACAATAGAAACACTCATCTTCCCTATTCGTTATTTACAATAAACTGGAAAGGAGCAAGGTAATTCGTTACGAGATGACATAGAAGTTATAGAAGATGTACATTGATTTTTCACTAAGCTTAAATGGATAGCTGATAACAATGGCGGATACAGAAAGGATGTGCCTTTTGTCTTTTGACGAACTCCGTGCCAAGGGTTCCTCGCAAATTCCAAAGGTGAACATGTACAAAAATAGTATTTAAAATAACGTCGAGCCAAACTTTTCTCTTCCAACAAGAACTCTTGTTTCCGCTTTCAACATCGAGAAAAAAGTCTCTGCATCTTCTAGCCACTGTCACAAAACAATGCTTCATCTCAGACAAACTGAATACCCTACAAATGAACGCGCTTTTCATTTTTCATCTCGCTTCTTTGCTCTATCAAGAAAAGCACAAGTGTATATTTTTTAGTTAAATTTTTAGAGCAATATTTTGCGATGTTATTTCAACTTTTTTTTTGGTGTTTAACGTTCTGCTCATTCTGCATCATTTTCCTTACAATAAAATACATTTTTTAATTTCGTTTTAGCCTAACAAAAGAGCTACACTTCACCTAAAGGATGACTAAACCACGAATTTATGTTTAACTTCCCTACAACGAAAAATATACATTCTTAGCCGATGTTCGTGCTAAGAAAAGAGTTCTAGTCATGCAAGTTCTCGATCGAAGGCTCCATCCTGAAAATTTCCTATGCAAAAGACGAGAGAAAAAGATCAAGAAAAATTTGAATCTAATTGGCTGAAGTCTATATATCTTTGATAGAGTTTAGTTCTAATGTGGCATGGCTATGGCAAATCACGTCGAGATATAGAAGAGTCGCTGGACATTCACGTTGTTAATAAAATGATGCCAGCCCAAATACAGGCTCAGTAGCAACAGCAGCAAGTGGTTCGGCACAAGGCAGATACTCAAGCTCATTCCCAGACGTTGGATCGCAGCAGTCTTGTCTCCTGTAGAGAATATGAGTCAAAAGTGAATATTTTAATATGTGAAGAAAACTTTAGAGAAGGTAGTTATTTTTTTAATTAATCAAAAATAATTGTGTAAAAGTTATTATATAAATTACAATTACTGCAAATTAAATCCTCTTCGTTGTTTTTAAATAAATGATCCAGCATATGAAAGTTTTAAAACATACGAGTTAATGTATCAATTTCTAGCTAAAACTCCCATTTTCCCTTTCTTTCATAAACTCGTCGTTCATTTTTAATTTCATTTGCAAATTGATATTCAAAATCCCAAAATATGTATAATTCTCTTTTTTAGATGTTTAGACAAATAATTTTACGAGCAAAACATTGTCTGTGTTTTCTTTTGTCAGAAAATCTGTGAGTCGTGGTGTCATATTGAGTGCCATTAGAGAGCTGCCATATGGAGGCCTAAAGGATGAAAAACAGAGCCAGTTTTATGCGGGCAATAACGTGTGATGGCCTCCATTAGAAAGAAGGACAAGATGGAAGTATATATCTGCGGAACATCGCATATTTTCACCAAACTAGCTGAGCTCAATGTTTACAATACAATAAAAAATTCTCCTCACTCTGTGGAATACAAAATATTTTAACTGGTCTCGAATGAAAGCCGTTACATTAAACAGGACGAATAAAGCGAATAAAGCTCATAAACGAGCTTTATCTCTTATAACTTTCAATTTACCTCATGTTGGTTTCGAGCCTTACTCGCCATAGTTTTCAACGTGTATACCCAAGCTTTTTTTTAAATACTGTTGCATTTCATTTTTAATGTATGAAGTGCTCCAAAATAATAACATTCAATATCAATGAGTATTACTCTATTTTTAACATTCCGTGAAGCTCATTATAAACCTATTTTCATATTCATGTATATAGCAGATTTGCAGTCTTCGACATCTATAGTCCCTCGGACGACCTCGCAGCTATCAAGTCCTGTTTTAGAGCTTCATATAATGATAATTTTATCCCATTGAAATTCATGAATGTATGATGAGGAAAGAAAAAGTCCAGCTCCGCGTTTTAGGATATGATGTAAATTCTTCCACCAGTATATTCGCCCGAAGGAAAGCAAACAATTTTGCCCTGTGAAATGTACCGGTCTCCATGATTGTTTCCGCGAGCTCTCCGAAACTACGACCACATTACGGACGTTGAAAACATGGTTATTATTATTCATTACAACAAAGACGATGCGGATTGGTGTTCTGAAACGGAGTGATTTTATAACTTCACAACTGCACATTTTACATCCAAAAGACTGACTGATATTCAATAAATTGGCATCGCGCAATATTATGGACAGTTTTATAAGCGAATTCGATGATTGTTAAATTGCTTATTCAATGGTCTCAGCAACACAGTATTCAATTGTTTTGCACACTCATTGATTATTGGCATTAATAAACATATGAGCTCTATTGTAACAACAAGATGAATGAATTCAAATGAATTATCTCTTCCCTAAAAATCCTTTTTAAATTTGTGAAATATATGCCTAACAAAAATATTCAAATGGAAATTAAAATAGATTCCATGGTCTCAAGAGATTAGACTGCAGTCCACGTTCAAAACATTTATCTTGGTCTCGTGGAAGTTAGTTGAAGATTCGAGCGACGTAAGCGACATAACTCCTCAATCTTGCGGAACGTACGAAAACTCGAGTGCGGAACGGACGCTCTTCCCGGACAAAGCTCGGTGCCGTGAGCGAACCTCTTCTTCTTATGAGACTCGCCGCACTCAATTACTTAAGAATGCTTTAGGAAGCGCATTAGAGCTTCAACAACTATTGATCGCTGCAGGCGGCGATGCCTTGTCATTCTCAGTGGCCTTAGAGTCTTACTAATTAACACTAAAAGCTCTGAAAAGTTTATCGGCGTAAAAATCTGACGCGGAGCATTGTTGTCGAGTGTCTGACCTCTCGTTATCCATTTATCAGGTAGCTTCCTTTTCATTAAATTTCGAAATAAAAAATAACAGACAGCAAGGCTTTTATAGATGCCTTGTTGCAATGTGACAACAAACCATCAAATTGAGCAATTGAACAACTTAAAAAACGTAAATCGCAGAATGGTTCGTCTAGAATTTCGGAGAAGTGTAAGGTTTGTTTCAGAATGTCTGATTATTTATTGACACTGAATCGTCTTCAAATAGCAGATACTAACGCATTTAAGGTCTATATGTCAGTGACACTGTCCCATCGATTCACAATTTGACTGCAGCCTCGTGATGTCTTAAACGAACATGAAGCTACGGCTATCATTGCGTGCTCCATTAATGTAGGAATTACCATTATCATGAGCATAATTGTCTTTTTTGTCGTTTAGGATAAAGCGATCATTCGTAGTTTAAGTTCACCTACTAATGTATTTCTCTCAAGCTTGGAATTTACGTAACACATAAAATTCAGCAGAGTTTTAATTAACCATTTACCACCACTACACAACCTCTCATCAAACTAGCGAATGCATATCAATTTACAACGCTTATTAGCCTTTTATATCATCTCGAAAAATTTGCTTGATTCGCCACTTTAGACTATAATACGGCCAAAGAAAACATCCTTTCTTCAAACGTAAAAAATACACCACATCTCCTAAAACGCCTAATGCGCCACATATAAATTCTAACTATTTGCAGCAATCATGTTGCAAGTGCATGATTGCTTAGTACAAGAATTCGTTTTAATGCCTGCGTTGCCTACCAAATGTTATAAAAATAACTAATTTTCCAGCGCAGTCAGTTTGTGCGATGTGCTCAACTTCTGAAACGAAGACGTTGACTGTAGAATTGGTGACACCGGCCGAGCAAGTGTAGTTGCCGGCCCCTCATTATTTTAAACATACTTTATTTTCCAACGCAGTCAATTTGTGCGATGTACTCACCTTCAGACACGAAGACGTTGACGGTAGAGTTGGTAACACCGGCCGAGCAGGTGTAGTTGCCGGAGTCAGCGTAGGTGGCGTCAGCGATTGTGAGCTGGGCTCGAGTGCGTGGCTCGTGCTCCGTGACAACGTTGATACCGCCTCTCTGGCGATCGTAGTTGATCATGTTCTCGTTGTGGTACCAGAACACAAACGACGAAGGCTTGATGGTCTGAATAAAGAAGGTACAAAAGACTTAGCAAACTAACTCAGACGCTCACGGAGATGCAGAATAGAATGCTATAAAGTACTGAGTCTTGGCTGTACTGTTGATTTTTTTCTGTATCAGAAATTGAGCATTAGAAATTTAAAAGCGAAGAAAACACCACAAAAATTTAGCATATCTCTTTTGAAAACGTTTCGGAGACCAGCTCCATCGTCAGTTCGATAAATCTATAGAACACTGATAAATGCAGAAAATTAGTTTGGAGTTAATAAAAAAAAACACACACAGAAGTTAAAAACCTAAATACTGCATTAGAATTGAGCAATACAATGAAAGTGACTGAGTGAATAAAATGATTGCGTATGTTGTTTGATTGCGTATGTATGAATGTTTCAACATGAAAACATAATGCCTTTAATTCTCATGAGTTTGATAACTCATCAACAACTTATGTAGAGGATTGTACTTTTCTGAAGAAAATTATTTTTTCCTATGTGATTAAATGAGGTATGCTCAAAATTCCTGAAAGTATCCTGAAAAATCATAAAGTCCCTGTGTAAACGTATGTTTATTATCTAGTGAGCAACAAAAATTATTTAATTCACCAAAGGGAAAGATGTTATGCTGCTATACTTTATTATTTTGAACCCATTACGTTTCGTTGCTAAGTACATGAATGCACGCTGCATTTTTTTGCCTCCAATCGACTTCAGAGACGCGGTAAAATTGTTCAACCCATGTTTCGTTGTGAAATCCAAAACTAAGTCAGTTCAAGTCGTCATAGATCAAGGGCCATTTTCAAAGGTGTAATTCTATCGAGTTTTTATATTTCTATCTCAATGCATTCGAAACGTCTTTAAATAATAAAGAAAAACTGCTTCCTGAAACTTGCCTTTTGATCTACCGTCATTTGAAGAAAAGTTCCACTCCCTGATAATATAAATCAAGTAATTCTCTGGTCATCAATCGCACGTGTATAAACAATTAAATTCTGCCATCTATTACTAATCTCAATATTTATATACAATCTGAATCATATTTATAAAGCGAAAGTCCTCATTAGTTCAAGAGCTCAAATACAATCCGAGTTGTATTCTAAAACAATGCTAATCATTTATTTGAACATTGAACGGTATTACATTTAATAGTTTCTTGGAAATTCATTCAGAAAACGTATGCATGAGCTTGCTTCTTTGACTGGTCATTTAATTTATTTACTGATGGTAAATCTTAAGTATGCAAAATAATATTGTGAGCATATCAAATCATTTGAAAACATTCATGCTTAGCACTTCATTTTAATGTGAATGATTTCTATTTCTCGATTCGAAATAAATTCATTTTATCTCAATTAACGTTCTTTTTCGCGACTCTTTGTGATTCTGGTGAACGTGCGATTTACTCAGACAAATTATATAAATTTTTAATACAGAGAATAAAATAATTGAGAAAAATATAAAAATTAATAAAATAATAATAATATATACGGAAAATAAAATAATACATTACTCACCCCATCTATGACGCACACCAGGGAAATTGTTGACCCAGACTGCACATGTAATTCCTTGGACCCCAAAATGGAAGCCTTCGGGACTACGACGTTCAGGAATACTTGATAGACGTTGCGCCCTGTCTTTGTGGGCACCTGCAAAAAATCGTTTAATCTTCTGTTATTCACTATTATTTGTTTCTCTGCGTTGTTGAATTTTTTATTTTCTGCTGGTAGTAAAATCGTCATTGTGGAGGGTTTCTCGAGTTTCTAAAATTCAGTCAGTATTATTATCATCCATTTATACGCTAAAACCTTATATAATTGAACTATTTGTTAAACTTTAACTTATTAATATAGCATTTATGATACTTGTATTAGAGTCTTCCGTAATTTTACACTTATTTTCTTCGATGTTCACCTGACATTCGTAGAGTCCGTGATCTCTTCGCTGGACAAACTTGATCTGCAGCAGCCAGTCGTCGGGGTTCTCGCTCTTGACGACGCTGAAGCGCTCGTCTAACGTCTGCGTCTGGAGACCGGACGTCAGGATGTGGTAGTCCCGACGTCGGATCCACGTCACCTGAGACGTAAAGTGCTGTTCTATATTGCTCAGGCTGGCCCACTTGTATATATAAGTGCTAGTACTTATATTTAAGTTGTATATGTAAGATAAAATTCGGAATTATATTATATATTCGTTAAGATATAACTTTAAACTACGGAATCTGTTGACCAAATTTCCCTGAATTAACTCCGGAAGTAAAAAATGCTCAAACGTAAGTTAAACAGTGGTAGTGGGAAATGTAGAGTGTGCATGTCTTAGAATATTACAAGCATAGTACATATCGTTGTTGTTTCTTGTTATTTTAATATTTTGCATATCAGCAGTATAATATTACTTTTAAGTTAGAAACTAAAAACTTTGCATCAGCACTACCAGTTGATCGGAAACCTTTATGTTATGGGTCATGGATTTATGGTTTATTTTATAGGTTTATGGTGTTTTTTAGACTTGCATTTATGTTATTTATTTTAATTCACCTGTAGACCGACCTTGACCGACCTTCTTATCGCCCAATATTTTGTAGGTTTCATTTTATTAGCATAGCATTTATGTTATTTATTTTAATTCACCTGTACACCGACCTTCTTATCGCCCAATATTTTATAGTTTTTATTTATTTAGCATAGCATATATGTTATTTACATTAATTCACCTGTAGACCGACCTTCTTATCGCCCATTATTTTATATAATATATGTTAAATATTGAATTAAATATTAAACAAGTTATTAAAGTAAACATTAGTTGAATTTTCAAGATCAGCTCCAACAGTGTTCCATTAAATTGCGTGCTTACCATGATTTTTAGTAGTTAGTTATAGCATTAAAATTGTATAAGTTATACAATGGTATCAATTAACACAATTTGGTATATAACTCTGTTAAATCTCAATAGATATTGTGTGGGTAAAAAGCACCAAAAAAGCACGATTGATTTCGGATAGTATTAGAAAACTATTTTTTCAAAAAAAATAAAAATTTATTCGCATAAAAAGCCTTCTCAGTGAAACAAACGTGAGCTTTATTGCTATCTAAAATCACTCTCAAGACATCTTCTAGGTCCCGTTTTTTTTAATTTAATGATGTTTTCATTTCAGGCAGATTCAAAAGAAACTCTTTCGTCAAAGATATAATCTGAAATGTTCTGCTTTAATCCAACTAAAGAAATACACAATGTTGCTGAAGTATGTCTGATTTTTTACTGGCTAGCGGGACCTTGAGCTCATTTCAAGCAAGGCAAAACACGAAGCTCCAGCCCTCGTAGAATTTTTAGTTGTACCACAGACTTTATCAGGCTTAGAGTGCGAGTAAGATACACCCGGTCGCTCTGTCTTGCTTTCATAGTGGGCTAGAAGTGAAGGTTCAAACCCATGGTGTTGTTTTCCAAGCCTATGGCTTGGTTTTTAAGACATATGCGTCTTACAATAGATTTATTGAAAAGATTTTTTGTCGTAACTAAATTTAACGCTGGAGACTAACTTTTAAAAAAAAATTCACACTAGTTTTAGATATTAATTCTGGTCTCTTCAATCATTGCATTAATTAATTACTGATGCTAATTTCACACGATTATTTTCGTCGATGAAAGAAGATTCTTGAAATACAAACAAGCATATATTTTCCAATTGGTGTATTTTGTTTCTATTTATTAGATCAAATCAATATTCTTCCAATAATTGTTTCCATACATTTCAAAATTGCTCTCTCAGAAATTAATTTGCCACTTCTTCAATAAACAATGAATATCAATAATTAAATGAACGTTTAACCAGAGACTCATCTTACAGACCTCTTTTACGCCAAATTTTTCGCGAGTAATTCGGCAAAATATTTGCTGATTTTCGTGTAGCTTTCTTGTGCTAAATCTTGCGACAAAAAATCTAGCAGCATTAGTGTCACGTAAAGTTTTGCTGGACGACATTTTTATAGAAATAAATCATATAAGTGTCGTCGAAGTTGGGTTGACGGGAGCTAACTCTCGTGTCTTCCGTACAAGCAAAGGTCCATGCAGTCGAAAGTAAAAATTGTGCAAGGTTGCATCAAGTTGTTACAAAATTGTTGTAAGAACTTGCATCAAGTTGTTACAATATTGTTGTAAGAACTTGCATCAAGTTGTTACAATATTGTTGTAAGAACTTGCATCAAGTTGACAATATTGTTGTAAGAACTTGCATCAAGTTGTTACAATATTGCTGTAAGAACTTGCATCAAGTTGTTACAATATTGTTGTAAGAACTTGCATCAAGTTGTTACAATATTGTTGTAAGAACTTGCATCAAGTTGTTACAATATTGCTGTAAGAACTTGTTTTGAGCTGCTGCAATATTGTTGTAAGAGCTTGTATGAAGTTGCCACAATATTGTTGTAAGAACTTGTACCAAGTTGTTACAATATTATTGTAAGAACTTGGATCAAGTTTTTACAATATTATTGTAAGAACTTGCATCAAGTTGTTACAATATCGTTGTAAGAACTTGTATCAAGTTGTTACAAGTTACATTATCGCATCAAGTTTGTTTGCTCGGACGCGATAGAAAATTTCGTCCGAATTCATTTTCTCATGGCTTATAATTTTGAGCTGTAGGGCAAATCTGTTTGTTGAAAAATTTATTCATTTCCTCTTTTGTGCCTGGGAAATTTAATTTTTTAGTCTAAAATATATAATGAACTAATGGTAACTCACCTCCGTGCCTGAGCACAACAGCCCTGGCGCCAAAAACGTAGAGCAAAAAGTAGCTTATGACAGCAGTCCACGCCTTCATCCTGCTCCTATAGTTGGTTGAGTCTGAAAGAAAAGAAAACTCTATTTTAATTAACTTTGCTTGGTGAATGATCTGCGTCAAGTGCTTCTTTTTTCGGTAAAAGTTCCATGAAAATTCATCGCACTTTGTAAACTTGACATGGCGGTATTTAAAACTGTAGCGCGTGAACTCAACAAACTTTCGTTATATTAAGAAGCTTCGTGTTTGGATGTCATTTACATTTTGATCATCTGGCCAATCTTGGTACTCTTTTACCTAACTTGCCACTTCTATGGAATTATTTAAAGAGATTTATTAAATCCAAAAGAACAAACGACTTGATATTGTACTTATCCAATGGGAATTATTTCAGTAAGCTATTTTTTCAGGACTGATTTCACGATCAAACATATTGTTACATAAATATTGTTATTTAATTGCTATCCATTAAAGTCTAAAAAAATTATAATAATTACATTTATTGAAATTCAACGAGATTGCTCAATAGTGTCAGAAATGTTTGAATCAAGTTAATAGCATAACCTGTATTTACCAAAAAAGCTGTAAATTTTTTTGCTTAACTTATGAACAATTAATACATTTACGGTTCCATAGATTGAAATGCCTGAGATGTTTAGAGATTCATTTAAATTCAAATCTTCATGCAATTTTAGATTATTATTTACAACAAATTTATTTATTTCGAAAAATCTTGGTCATTGTAAAATTGTTGCTAAATCAATTTCACAAACCTTTTTATATTTGTATGCCTTTTCCTTATGGATGCTAGTGGGGAATTCGAAAATACTCTATTCTAATAAGTTTTCATTTACTGCAACTTCCCGCTTGTACCCATGCCTTTTTTATTAATTTCACCATATGTGAAATTAAATCAAACACTACCTTTCTCATTATTTTCGATCAAAAAATTAATTTCAAGTAAAATTGCGACCTATTACCTCCATTGGTCATACCAATTTTCTTATAGAAAAAAGTTACATGAAAGCAAAACCAGCGATGCGTTTGTTCAGTAACCAAAGCAACGTCCAACAGCAACCGATAATTCTGAGGCGCGTGACGACCATGCATGCGATGTCTCGAGGCCTTTTTTTTAATATTCAATTACTATCGCTAGGTCAGCTTCCTAATTACGTGTCACTCATAAGCATGGTTGATTGGCAGCAAAGAGCAGCCACTATGATATCCACTGTAACATATAATTGAGTTAAATGGTGCCCATGAAGCATGAGAGTTTTTCTTGAACACAGTTACTCTAATTTAATCTTTAGTAATTGCCCAATAATTATCAATCAGCCTGTGGATGTGTCTTCTAAATAGGTCGTAAATTTAGCAGGTCATCAAGACGACATTAATAGGAAAATAAGTGAGTTTATGAAAAACGAAATGTACGTTTCATGGATGAAATTCATTGAATGAATACAGTTTATAATACTCAATACAAAACCCATTTTGAAAATGGTTGAGAGAGAAGAATACTGTCGTAAGTCATAAAAAAATGCCACCACTCAATTTCTTTCTTCCTCGGCAATGAGCAGTGTTTGACAAGGCGCATTGGATATCGAACTTCGGTAGAACGTGAATTGCTAAAGCGATTATGCTAACACCGAATAATGTATTGGATTATATATTATGTCTGACAATGGGAACTACCCATAGTAATATAGGCGGATGATGATTTATTATCAGTTTTCGATCAGGAATGATGGGGACCTTGATCGTTTCACGCATTAAAAAAACATAATTTTCATAACATTGTCTGGGAAAAATAATTCTGCTACGTTCAAGTTGCGTGGTAAGAGAAATTGTCTTCAGATGATTTTCCGGAGCTTGAATGTTATATTCATACATCATGACGCACATATTATATTCTGAGACCAAAGCGTTAGGAAACTTTTGATACCAAAAATCAAAAATAAATTGCGACCCTGTAATTTGGTTGACGTTGATTCAATGACTTGTAAAAGACAGAAGCAGGTGTCGGGAAAATTAGCTTGCTCACAAAGCACTGGAACAAAATTTGACGGCGTGACGGCCTAATCGCGATGCGTGTTCCGTCTCATATAATTTGTGCAGGGGAGGCAAGTTATTTCCAAGCAATTATTCCTATGAACTAGTGGGGAATACTAGACTGTAAAAACCGTTGGTGATTCTAATAGCTTTTATTTCTTAAAGCAGTGCGTGATTCAAAGACGAGAATTACCTTAGTGCATTTCAACTGCGAAACAATTCACAGAGGAAAGGTTATTTTGTTTTATAAGTATTCACGAACGCAAACACCTTGGACGCAGTGGTCAATTAATATTGGTCTCAGAATACTTGTAAAACCTTCTAGGAATTTAATATTACCGGCATATAAAGGGCTCAAAACTGTACATAGTTCATCAATTTTGATGACTCTAACGCCGTTGAACCAACTTGTGAGCCTGAAGCTAAGCAATGATCAAACATGAAATATTCTTATTATTTTTTATCAAATTACCAGTCTAGAAATTTCTGCAGTTACTCATGATTGGGTTAAATCTAAGAACCTTGCATGATTCTACTTTTAAGCAAAGGGTTTCAAATTTTCTTGAATTGTACAGAAAATTTATCTAGCTTCTGGTTCTATGAAGCCCAAAAATTGCTCTCTAAACCATTTAATTTTGAGCCATGTGGCTTCTCATAATTGCGGGGCATACGTTAATAGCGATAATTACTATTATTACACAATAATAAACCAATAGGCGCCTCAGTTTCAGAAACTAATCGATAGACAGCCAATATAGATTTTGTGATCCCGCCATATTCTACATATTATATATTTTCCGTTGCTGTATGAATTGGGTCGGATAACTCTAATCTTAACATTATTCGCAGCATGCCGAGATTTTATAATAGAAGTTTTATTGAGGTACTTTCAACATGGCCTAGAAAGTTTT